TGCGTTTGCGCGCCACCAGCGAGGCGAGCGTGATCAGCTGGATCACGTCCGCCTCCGCCAGAGTCCGTTCCGGCCCGGTCTTACCTCTGACGAGCTGCGTTTGCGCGTCACCAGCGAGGCGAGCGTGGTCAGCTGGATCACGTCCGCCTCGGCGAGAGTCCGTTCCGGCCCGGTCTTACCTCTGACGAGTTGCGTTTGCGCGTCACTAGCGAGGCGAGCGTGATCAGCTGGATCACACCCGCCTCGGCGAGAGTCCGCTCCGGCCCGGCCTTACCTCTGACGAGGTGCGTTTGAGCGCCACCAGCGGGGCGAGCGTGATCAGCTGGATCACACCCGCCTCGGCGAGAGTCCGCTCCGGCCCGGCCTTACCTCTGACGAGGTGCGTTTGAGCGCCGCCAGCGAGGCGAGCGCGATTAGCTGGATCACAACCGCCTCGCGGAGAGCCGCTCCGGCCCGGCCTCTAACCTCTGGACGAGTGCCGTTTGCGCGCCACCAAGCGAGGCGAGCGTAATCAGCTGGATGGCGTAACGTAGCGACGTCTCCATGCCGATCCGGGTAAGCACGGTGAGCGCGTCGTCCGACATCTCGGCGTCCTCCTCCTCGCACCTATCGGGCGCGGACGGGGCCGGCCGTCACACGTCGCGGGCCCACCGGCGGCGACGGTGTGAGAACACGGGCGGCAGACCGCGGGGTGGAGTCCGGAATACGACAGGGCGCTGTACAGGGTTGGAGGTGCTGTACAAGGTCGGGGGTGCTGTCGGGGCGCTGTCGGGGGTGCTGTCGGGGGTGCTGTACGGATGCTGTACAGAGTCGGGCCAGCGCAAGACACAGCCATGCATGCATAACTGAGGAACATGTGTCCGTGGTAGAGGGCGCCACAAACGGAGGCGAGGCTATAAATATGCCGCCTAGGGGAGGGGGAGAGCCTGGTAATTTATTGGATATCAGCCGGCAGGAAGCTGACACCCAAGACTTTGATCGCCGGCCATACGCTGCACGTCAAGCGACCCTCATAGAAACACAGGAATCCTTCAAAATAAGACACAGATCACCCTTAACTGCATTTTTTGAGCCACTCCCATGTCTCGTATCGGGCGGCAAAAGTTCAACTTCCGTCAAGTAAAACATGTTCACTAGCCTGTGAAGAAGCGAAGGCAAACTTTCTCATCATTATTGTCAAACATCAGCATTTTTTGCATAGTTTTACACACAAAAGTTTCGACACCATCGGCAATTGTTACTAATGTCGATGTAGAAAATACACAATATCAGCATAATCACAAGTAAATTATTGGTGCATTTCTACTTTTCCCTTCACAAAGTTTTTACGCCGTCATAAATTCATGCAGTCCTGGGCGTATTTAGGCCCAACACAAGACAATCAGTAGCGAGTGATTTCAGCACCAACACATAGTGTGACACGTTTCTGCGCAGTGGTACTTGCATTATGACACCGTTTTAATACATAGCGTTGCAGCCGAATACAAAACGAGGCATCATATAATACGTCAAACCCACACAATATTTGGAAAACCACATTGGCAATAATTTTCGGCTTGTTCTAAGTAAAGTACATTTAAGTTTTTTCTGGTAGGCCTAGGCCATTTCACACTGAATGTATCTAATGCTTCATATCACCTTACGAGCTACGTGGGTCGGATTATCTACCTCATGCAAATAGATAATCCAGCAGCCAGAACAGCTCAGCCCCAACGCCGGTTCCTTGAAAATACCGTGCACGAGGCCAGCTGGTCCAACAAGATACTTAAAAAAACGAGGAGAAAACCTTAAAAAGCTCTCCAATGGCATGGACCACTTTTACTGAAGCACTGCCACCAGGCTGTAACCGTCATATCCTATATCACCGTGAACTGTGAGGCACAACAGGCCCCCAGCCGGCAGCCCGCCGTGACCTGTGGGGCACGGCAGGCCCACAGCCGGCAGCCCGCCGTGACCTGTGAGGCACGGCAGGCCCCCAGCCGGCGGCCCACCGTGACCTGTGAGGCACGGCAGGCCCACAGTCGACGGCCCACCGTGACCCGTGAGGCACGGCAGGCCCCCAGCCGGCGGCCAGCGCCGTCGGAGACGCACCTGATCTTGAGGATCTGCTTGGTCTCGCTCTCCTGGTACGGCCGGGTGGAGATGATAACGGTGCGGTCCAGCAGGTCGATGGGGACGCCGTGCGGCGAGCTGTAGCTGGTGCCGCGGATGCGCGTGATGCCCCGGTTGGTGGCCATCACCAGGATCGGCGCCATCTCGTTCTCCAGCGCACGGTTCAGGAAGGAGAAGCACTCGATGTCGAGCATGTGCACCTGGCGGAATTAGCAGCTCGGTGAGCCCAGCGTCCCACACGTATACCATCGCTAGAGCGGCCTAAGAGGAGCTCATATGACACGAACTTTAAGATTTTACATCGACAAATCCGCGGCAAATGAATCAGCATTCCTTAGCCGTACTTGATGAAGAAAGGCCTTGAGGTCCTGCTTTCTCAGCATCATGAATTAAGAGTTGATGATGATGACTCTTACACCGATAGCTCGCTACCTTCAACTTGCAGGGAGCTCCTGGTTAAACGACGTTACCGAGCAAACATTGGTTCTGTCATCAACATTCGACATTTAGAAGCTGTGCCAATGGTCACGACTCTGCTGATATGGAACTCACGAGCTTTACATTAGCTTACGTCACCAGGCTCCAAACGTAGAGTATTGACAACATAACATGAACATGAAACATAACGTGAAACATTAGTTCAATACAAAACAGCACAGGAAAGAAAAGCAAGAGGTGGGCCATGTCGAGATGACTGAGCCCCCCCCCCCCCCCTTACCTCGTCGATGAAGAGCACTCCTGGCACGATCTCTGCTTTGCCCTCCTCCCTCCACTCGGCCACCTTGGTGTTGATCTGGTCCCGTACCTCAGACTTAATCTCACCCGTGTCGCCTGGAGCAGGTCACCAGTCTAAGCCAGAGACAACCACACGCACAGAACACGGCGAGAAGGGATCACAACGCTCACAGAAACATCGCTCAGATTAGATCCAGAAGAGTCAAATCGGATGAAGTGTGCCCAATTTGACTTGATTTACAGAAGTCAAATTGGCTGGAATGTGCCCTCTACCCCCACTCACTTCCATCACTCCACTTCATGACATATCCCAGCAACCTGCCCTCCCTACCCGATGCGTCCACAACCATACACGCACCCACTTCCCCTTCAACCACCCATCCACCCACACCCACACACACGGTGGCCACCGGGCCTAGCCGGCCGCGCCGCCGGTGGGCCGGCGACGGGCGCGCCAGCGTGGCCGGCCACCCACCGGAGAACAGCGCCAGGAAGCCCTGCGTCCGGCTGTTGATGACGTCGATCTCGTGCAGCGTCACCGTGTGCACCACCTCCTTGCGCTTCTGCAGCTCGCCCTCGGGGCACTGCACGAAGCGCGTCTGGGGAGCCGTGGCGTCGTAGTCGCGCGCGCGCGTGAACGCACGGCCCAGCTTGGTGATCTTGCCAGTGGCCTTGTCAATGGTGATAACGTCACCAGCTTGCGCCTGAGAGAAAGAGGTCGGCGAGAGTCAGGGACGTGGCCGGCCGCCCGTGTCACGCAGAACGGTGTGAACGATGGCATATACTAGACAGCAAGAAGCATGCACCGAAGCCGCCTGGCCGTCACACCGGAGATGAACAGGCTGCATATGTGCTGCAGCGTTTGTGTGTGCTGTGCTGGAGGGCATAGACCCAAAATACAGAGCTCGTGAGCAGTCTGATGCAATCTATAGTTACTGCACGACTGAAACCTCAGATGTAAGTGAATCACCCTTTTTGTTGCAATATAGGATGCTATTTGCGCCACATTACACGCCAGGATGTACGCCGACTGTGACAGCCTCACACATCAACGTTTATTATTGGTCATCTCGGCTCAGAACGTGCCTTCTCCTTGACAAGAGACTCGATCATCTTGGTGCCGAGGTCGTAGATGGTCTCCATCTCGGTGGTCTTGAGCGTCAGCTTGCCGACCTTCGCGCCGGTGCCGGAGGCGGGCCGGTCCACCTGGATCTCCACCACCTCTCCTTCGATGATCTCCGTCTCCTCCCTGGAGAGCGACAGCACGGCATGACATTACAGACAGTGCGGCCGTGCCCGCAGGTCAGTTGGTAACGCGATATCCTGAAGTGAGGCAGTTCTGTTGAGCGGCAATCCCAGACAGCAGGGCTGATAAAACCCGTTCATGACGTCCAGCGGACAACTCAGCATGTGAGGCAGGCTGACACAAAGCCGGGCGTTGTTAGCGTATTACATACACGGCAAACTAAAATCTATCGGGAAAAGCCCGCAGTGGACTGGAGCTGCTGTAACAGGGCGTATGAGAGCCAGGCTATGGCCAAACCCTGTCACTGACAGGAACTCTGCGCTCGAATCAATCCCTTCTATCCCTTAAAATCTGCATAAAATACACAGGGGTGCCACCTCTCGGCACCAGGCGCGTGGTACAAACGTCCTCCAATGTGCAAATTTTCCAGTCCTCACATGCAGTAAAAGTGTAACAAATGTGCACACTTTCACAAACCTTTCTACAGATAATTATTTCCAAAAACCCACCGAAAATCCGATACTTCCTTTTACATTCAGTGAGGGGTCACAGCCCCTTGATCTCAATTACTACACCTATGGCTGACGGGTCACCACAGTGTGGCAATATTCGGCCACCTGGGTGGTAGCAGCATCGGCATCTATCGATGCTATTTATTACGTCCCCGGTTCGGGGTTCACAGCATGTCCTTCGTTCCTTTGCTTAAAATCGGACAATCAGCATCGAGCCGGGCGGCGGACAATCCAACACTGAGGGACTGACAAATCGGTTGGGCAGGTCAGATGTCGGGGTTCGGGGTCATGGGCAGTGGTTCAACAGCCGCCGAAATGTGCGTGCAGAGGCGCCGAGGAGGCAGAAGTCTGGCAGCGTAAAGTCATGACACCGTAAACATCCAACCGAAGGAATTTTGGAATGCTGCATCCAAATGAAGTCAGTATGTTACAACGGACGTGAGAGCAGTGTATATTGTATCATTCTCCCAGCGTTAGATGGTTCATTCAATACCGTATATTTGTTGACTTAGAACTGCACCCGGTACGTACGCACTGCTCATCTAAAGCCAACTGCACAAGTTCATCCGTAACTGGTCAAACAGGGTCAGTCTGACAAGGGAAGGCCAAACTGAGGCTTCGGAGACGCCTCAAGAAGTGGAAAAGTAGTAATGGACGCTGCTGCTCGTGATCATGACACACGAGCAAGAGTCAGCAGACGGCAAGAAATGCGTGATTTATGGGGAGCTGAACTACTTTTTTGAAGATTCAGTACGAAATTTTGAAAACATGGACTTGTGAGATCAAAGCTCGCGCGAACCGATCGTAAGATTCCAGGCCGACAGCAGAATTTGGTGACGAAAGCTCAATGCGTCGCAATGCTCGGGACAGTCCGCCCTGCCCTTTCACGCAACCCGACGTTTAGCGCGACCGCGGTGACCAACCGGCCGCTATCATGATGGCGCCTGTAAAGGGCTGCTTTGTTCTGTGTTTACCTCGCAAGTTTTGGCACGGTTATTAACGCCAAATAGCGAGCCCTTGAAGCGACTCCAACCCAACCCACCCTGAGTGGATGAACCGGAAGGCAGGCGCTCCAAACAACTGAGCAAGGGACAGGTGGTCTAACCGAGAGGGGCGCACACAACTAGCATACTAAAGCGTTCCCTTGCTTGGTCAGATAAATCAAACATAATCTTGCTTGACTTTACCAAAAAGGGGTGCAGTCGCAACAGTAGTAACTGAGCAGCCTAGCATGTTGTTACAAACATATAGCAAATAAACGGAACTGTAGTTTACCAAGAGGTACCAACTACAGTCAACGAAAAATACAGCAATACCATCAGTTCCTGAACTGGAGGATGGTGGCAGCAGTGACTGAAGCGAGAGTGGCTGAACGGCATCACTTACTTGATTCGGACGCCGATGGACTTGCGGAAGGCCTGCATCAGCGCCTCCGTCTTGTTCATCTCCAGACTGTAGATCTCGGAACCGGACATGGAGGTGAAGGGTGTATCCTGTCCCAACGCCTGCGCCATGCCCATGGCCAACGCCGTCTTGCCTGGTATTCACAGATCACGGTCACACACGGCCAGGCAAGCCACGCGGACGCCTGCACTGGGTTTGTTGAGGGCAATTGGTCGTTTTCATTCTAATGTCCAAATTCAATTCCGTGGCGAGGTGACCCATTAACCATCCGCGTTTGTGGGAATCAGACTTGGATATATGTGTGCTAGAACTGCGATGGTGATGATCGCAATGCTGCACTGAGCTCTAATGTGCATTGGTTGTCTGTCGTAGCATCACCGAAGGTTTGCAAGGAGACACAACCGAATGCCGATCATTTACTACTGTCAAAAGCCTTGCCAATCCGAAAATCACAGAAAGAGTACATACTTGATGTTCCGCCGGCACACAATCCAACCGCTACCGGCCACGGCAGCCAGCCCGCTCGCCCGTATCGAGCCAGCCCTCACCAGTCCCCGGTTGGCCAGCGATGAGGATAGCTCGGCCGGCAATCTTGCCCTCCTGGATCATCTGCAGGACGAGCCCGGCCGCGCGGCGCGCCACCGGCTGGCCGACCATGCCCTGCGAGACGGGCCGCGCCTCCAGCGCGTCGTCCAGGCCCAGGCCGCGGATGTGCGAGTGTGCGCCGACCCGCTCCAGGCGCGTCACCTCGCGCACCTCGGCAACCTTCTGAGCGGCCGCCTGCTCGGCCGCGCACGGAGAGGGGGACAGTCAGAGAGGCACAGCGTTCTGAGCGGCAGACTGCGCGGACGCGCACGGACAGAGGGACGGTCAGAGAAACACGGCGTTGTGAGCGGCAGACCGTGCAGCTGTAGACAGGCAGGCGGCCGTGGCAGTGAGATGGTGCTCTGTGAGGCTGACCGTGCGGCCGCAGACAGGCAGGGCAATGGTCACAGAGATGGTGTTCTGAGAGGCTGACTGCATGGCCACAGACGGGCGGGGCAGTGGTCACAGAGATGGTGTTCTGAGATGCTGACTGTGCAGCAGCGGACAGGCGGGGCATTGGTCAAAGAGGAAGTGTTCTGGGAGGCTGACTGTGCGCCCACAGATGGGCGGGGCAATGGTCAAAGAGATCGTGTTCTGAGAGGCCGACTGTGCTGTATGCATAGCGATCTGAAAGTCTAGCATGCCAATAGGCCTCCTAGTACACACACATGGCAATCATGAGAGAAAAGGAGAAATGAACCTTAGGAGTGGAAGCCAAAACACATGATGACAGTCTATGTTTCTGAATATATTTTCAATGGATGCTGGCAAGCCCATTTGGCTGACAGGATGCTGGTGCAGTAATGGTCAGATACCAGTATTAACAATACATAATATTGCTCATGCCAGTTTTCTGCCCCTGAGTCATCTTTTGCTATTAGAAACCAATATGCCAAGCTTTGTATGACCAAAAACATGCGGACAAAAACACTGCACTAAGACTTGTCCTGCGACCAGTTCCAAAAAAGTGCTGTCAGATCAAAATTTTAAAAATTTTCTCTGGTCTAGCACTGGTTTCAAACAACTGCTTTTTCACCAAGAAAGCCCAGGAGCCTTTCTAGACATCACCCTGCATGTGCATAATGAATCCAAGAGGAAACAAAACTAACCATGTAAACAAAACATAGCACCCTCAACAACCACCACAATGAACAAATATCTGAGATGCCACAATTCAATCAGTGCAATAAGCACAAACTTACCGTAGCCATATCTGGTGGCAAAACAATAGTGGCTAGTGTTGATCAATCTTGGCTAAAAACAAACAATATCTGGATTCAGCCTGTAGTGGCTATCCTCTGCCAGTTGTTGACTGAAAACAAGCATGCCATAATGAATAAGTGAAAAGAATCATGCTGACATGATGCAGAGTTTCATACTTCACCAACCCATTTAAAATTGTTTTCATCATATGACAACCCATCCTTTTATGCTGTACAAGTTATGTGGTGCTGCTGCTGCCGCAACTGTTCCACCTGTGCGGTTGGGTGGGGCAGCTGGAATGCACCAGAAAATTTTATAAATGGACATGTCAGTTTACAGGTGATTTAATATGAAAACCTTCACAACTCATTCAGCACCAGTGAGGCTCAGTCATCCCCCCTGGAAAGTTAACAAATCAGATTGATGCATCACAAATTAATGGCTGGCATTAGGGTGCATGCATATTTTTGACCATTTGTCACTCATTTTGATGATTATGATGATCTTAAAAACATCAATCGATGAACAATTTAATAATGAAGTGTCAAGTACTACTGAAGATCACGACCAAATATACGGACAAACATACATGTTTTGCAGCCTGGAGGCAGGTACCCAAATGGAAATCAGACCACAAAATAATACATGTTACCCTGAACATGTCTGGCATAGCAGCAGCACCACAATAGCCCCTCAGCACAAACTGGCTTAGCCCGAGTCAGGCTCACAACACCGAGGCGGGGTCAGGCGCACCAGTCTCATATAAGAATCCTGCACAACAGGTGGATCTTTTTGCAGACTGGGATGGAAACATGCATCAAGAATATAAGCGGAAACTTATATACATTTCAACATCTGGGGCTTGATGTTAGAGCACCCAATCAAATATTTCAGGTCAATGGACCACATGACCATTTACTACACTCGGACAGACTTAAACGAAGCTGATTGGAGTCTGGATTTCGGTCAGGAAACGGATTTTTACAACTTCCGAAAAGGAAAAAGGCAAGCATTATATCAGTCCCAATTTTCAGTTCTGTGAATCAGCTCCTTTCTGAAATGATAGACCCCTATACCCCTCTTACGTACGCAGAAGCCGCTTGACACCACAACGCAATCCACGTGCTGCCCGCGTATTTATACCGGCAGATAAAATTTCCCTGCAGGGAAAATGTGCTGCCAAAATGGAGAAGTTTTTTACTCGCCCTCGGAAAACCACTGCCGCAATCCCAGGCTAGGCACACAAAATAAATACATATGCCGAGCACGGATGTGGCATGGGTTGTACAGCTGGGTCTTGTAGATACACAAGAAAAACTGGAACAAGACTCGAACGAGCTCGGACTTCATGAAATAAACAACGCGAGTTGATTTTGAACAACACCCTCGGCTCCCGGGGCAAACGCCAATGCCAGGGGGAAGAGATGACACTTCAACAAGGACAAGGTAACTGGGGAGGGGAAGTTGCAGTAAGGGCAGCTCACCCCCCACCCCCTTCCCAATTTGAGACCTGGGGGGGACGTGCATGCGAAAGTTTATTATGGCCTGCCGAGGGCTCAGTCCGGGCTATTTAGAGTCCCTTCTGACCGAAAAAAAATTCTGGATCTGAAGAGGGTCCATTCTGACCTGCAGAAGGGCCTTAACCTGCAGAGGCCCGTTTTAATATGTAGGCGGTCCATTATCGACCGCGGTTGATCTAGGTAATGCCGTTTACAAAAAAAGACTGTGCTGCCATCTAGTGTGGAATTTGAGAGTAGCTTTACCTTTCTTGGCGTACTACGGTACAGACGTGTTTCTAGCTTAGAAGCACGCCGCAGTTTGGGGTATTTGTAAATTTTCAGTCAATCATTGTACCCCAAACATAAAAAATTTCAACAGGTGCCCGTCGAAGTGCTTTTATTTGTAACAATTCTCAGTTAGATGGTATTTTCAAAGTCATTGTTCCATCTGTTGCAATTATCATTTTGATCAACTAGCATTTCGGAGAGAAACATCAATGCGTGGTGGACGATGGCTTGATCAGTGGGGGCTGAATGTGAGTTGTGGGGTACAGATGCGTGGTTATTGTGCATATCGTAAAAGCCAGCAGTCAGTGAAAAATTGAAGCATAACCAATTTACTCCCTGAGATTAAACTGGTCCTGACAATGCAACTTTGGAATATGTCAGAGTGACAGGTGCACAGTCATTTGCAAAAGTTGACATTGTGACACCCTGACACATGCCTCAGAAATGCATGGCACTAGTCCAGCCTCCTTCCCTGGATGGGTTATGGCTCAGTATTCATGCCACCAGCTAAGGTGGTTAGGCCAATAATTTATCTTCCTTTCCATGGTCATTTGTATCACCCACCATTTAATACTTTGTTATTGCAGGGTTTGCAATAATAAGTGCTGATAGGCGAATTGCGTACCAGCTGTCATATGTCACCCGTATGCAAGCAGGCTGCCCACTCTGCTTATCCCATTGGATGATTGCTATGGCTCTGAGGTAGTTGTGCTATGCCTTCAACTCTTCAGTTGGCTAGAATGTTAACAGCCCATGGATGATGGCCTTTACACTATCTGTAAGCACATGGATATTTGAGAAAATTTATGTGTCACCAAGCTGGTGAGGTCATGTAAGGAGATGCAGGATATGCATGAAGGTGACAGTTTTTCCCTAGTCTGTTGTACTGCATACAGAATGAAGGTTGCTTAAATATTTGAAGCTAGGTTCGCACTGGAGTTGATGAATTCCCTGCATGGTCCTGGCAGCCTGATACTGTACCATTTCAATCACCTTTTTGTCCTTACCTTTAAAGATGTCCCATGTCACATTTTCATGCTCCAACAGTCCTACCATGGTCTTTTAGACCGGAGACAGCATTTAATGGTCATTGTGTTCAAAACAACATTGGATGATGACCAGTACATGCCAGCCTTGGAGATAGCTGCTGCTACCTGCTTGTAGGGCCTGGGTTCATCAGCAATCATTCCCAGGGCTTCTCTATGGGAATGGATGACATTCCTTGCAATCATCCCTTAACACTTAAAAGGCAAGGATGGCCATAGAATAGGCATTGCTGTTCACCATCACAACAGAAAAAACCCTCAATTTCCTTGTCAGAAACAGCACTGACAAACTGGACAAATTAAAAGCACCAATGTGGTGTATCAATTTGCATGTAAGTTTGAAGGCCACTAGCTTTTTGTCATACTCTAACACACAACAAATTATAGGTCATTAAAATGGCATGCCTGTGCTGTGACACAGAATCTGGAAGCTGCACCCTGCCAGCCAGAGGATGGATGATGCCAGAAGCTATTCCATGCGCCCATCTAGCCGAGGTGGTCGGGATCTGGCCACCATGAAGCCGCGAGGCAGGGCCAGAACTCGGATACGTCGGTCTAAGGTAACTGCCCACTGTGACACGGTACCACTGTGTCAGATGTGAGGGCATATTGTAACCATAAGCATGCCTTTTTGGTATACCTTTAAGCATACCTTATTGATTTCTGGGCAGACAACTTGTTTGTCTTGGTTTATCTGTTTCTTCCTAGCAAGTTGGAAGTTTGGTACATAGAATGCACCTAAGGTGTAATCTAAGGTGTATCGCGCCCCGTGCTGAGCGGAAGTTTGGTACATAGAGTGCACAGAAGGTGTATCTAAGGTGTATCATGCTCTGTGCTGAGCTGAAGTGGGGCATATAGAGTGCACATAAAGTGTATCCAAGGTGTATCATGCCCTGTGCTGAGCTGAAGTTTAGTACAAAGTGTACATAAGGTGTATCCAAAGTGTATTATACCCTGTGCTGAGCTCTTTTTCCTGTGCCGTCCGGCTGCGTGACAGGTGATCGACAGCGACGACGAGTCACTGTGTGAGCCGACCGCGTCCGATGGTCCGCCGTCTCCCGACCGACCGGGACCGCCCCGGCCGCACGTGTTCGACATGGAGGCGGACATCTCGCAGCTGGAGCCGGCCACCTTCACCACGATCCAGCGCGGCCAGCCGGAGCCCATGCTGCGCCTCTCGTGGCACCACAAGGTGCGGCCGGCGGCGGGTCAGCCGGCGCCGGTCTGCGGAGACCGGAGCGCCGGCAGGAGCGGGAGCGGCGCCGGGCCGGCCGGCGGCGGGTCTGCGGGGACCGGAGCGCCGGCAGGAGCGGGAGCGGGGCCGGGCCGGCCGTCGGCCGCCGCTGACCGGCTGTCCTGGCCGGTCAGATCGGACTGGAGGTCGCAGTGCGCGCTAGCACGTCCGCTAGTCAACCTATTTCACGACAGCACGACCGAGTAACGGGTGTCATACGAGCGCGAACTAGGCCGTAATGGACGCTGTTTCTCGGGCGCAGGGGTCCGTAATGTCCAACATGGGCGTAGGTGCTCTGGAATGGTGATCGGCGTGTATGCCTTTTTGTCGACAGGTCGATAACTCCGCATAAGACCTCTTGAACTCGAAACACCAGCCAGTCATAATACAGTCGATACAGTCACCTGCTTATTATCTACAAACTGTTTGTTGTGCTTTGCCTGGTCACGCTTGTAGTCTGGTCAGCTAGATATAGCCAGTGTAATGCCAATGGAAGCCCAGTCCTGGAAGTGACCAGGGTGATGCCCATCACCAAATGGAATGGCATGATCGCCGTGCCGTGCCTTCGCAAAATGTGGACGATATTCATGCTTGTAATTTCTTTTTGCAGGTGAACTTGATCGCAGCAAAGGTGCTCAATCCTTTGATATATCTCTGTGAGAAATGTGACTGCCCAATACTGGCGTACGGCAGAATGGTGAGATGTCCGCAAACGTGGCCTTTTCCACTTCTCTGGGTGAATCATATCTCAGCGAGCGTGGTTACTGCTCCTGCTTGAGGAAGTGTTCGTGTCTCCCTCGCAATACAGCCGATTAAACCCGCCTCCTGCAATTACGGGTCACCCTCTGGTGATCATGTCTGTATCCTGCATGCCGTCTCTGGCTAGAGTGCTCAGGCGTGTGCGCGCTCGGTTTGTGCCGACAGATTCCGTGCAAGCACGTGCTATGCTACGACTGCGCCAAGGTGCAGGACAAGTGCTGGCGGTGCGGCGACCGGGCGGTGCGCGTGGAGCGCGCCGGCCTGGGCAAGCTCTACATGTGCCTGCACGACGGCAAGCGCTACGACAACAACGGCTGCCGGCGCACCTACCTCAGCCAGCGCGACCTGCAGGTCAGGGCCCAGCCGCAGGTGGCGCGCGTGGACCAGCACTTCAGCGGCCGGCAGCCGTTGGGATTTATTTTGGGATCAACTCGCTCAGTGCATGGTGTAAGTAAGGAAATGAGAAGGTAAACTTGGTTGCTCTTGTCTGCTGTGAACGCGAAGTATTGAAGACAGCTTGAACTGATTTGTGAAGCTCCTTCCAAGGTACATATCATTGATTGGTTAGAGCTGACATAACCTACGATTTCTGTGTGAGATCAGTTGTCAAGGACTTGATCAAAATTCAAAGGGTTAGGAATTTTTACACATGCGGGTTTTCTCGCTTTAATGAGTAGTCGCTAGACCACGTACATCAGGGCGGCGGAATCACAGGGACCGTGATTATTTTGCTGAAAACTGCGGCCGAAAATAGAATGGCCCAAAAAGGAATGCTATGTCAACATCTACAGTGAGCTGAACCAGCTGTCCCAGCCAACCCTCCTTTCTCTGATCCGCAATAGTCGCGCCACCGCATCGTCCAAGCGTGGCTGAGCTGACCCAACAGGCATCAGATTCTCAGCGCTAGTGGCCCGGCACCGGCGGTGCGCGAGCTGGCAGCCAACGTCTGGGCAGCCACAGGTGGCAGGCCCACGTAGTTTTGAAATTATTTTAGAGATGGACTGATGTAGTTTAAGTCAATGAGCGCACAGGCTGTTGCCGCCAATATGAAATACTTCGAAATTTCCCAATTTCATTTTCCTATTTGTGATGGGAAGGCGGCTGATTGCAATGCAATTTTCATGTCACCAACGACCTAGATATGGGCGTTGTGTTATCACGTTGATCGATTCCGGTATGCAGGATTTCCCTAGCTTCAGCAAATTCGGTCACGCGGTTCCCGTCCCCACGCATCACGTGTTGACGCACTGAGTCGGGAGAGGCACCATAACCAGTTTCCCTTCTTGCGTGTGCTGGACTTGATAATATAACATAACCTGCATGATTACGTGGGGTTCGGTGGCTGGATATGCATAGCGTTGGCCGCAGCTGGCGCCGTGCTGGTGGGACGTGCTGACGCCCGTCACCGCTGCAGGCGCACATCAACCACCGGCACCGTCGGCCGGCCGTGCCGCCGCCGCTGGCCGCCGCCGAGCCGGCGCGGCGCCCCCAGGAGGAACGGCCGCCGCCGGACCCGCGCGACCCGCGACGCCACGAGTCACGCGCGCCGGCGGCGTACGTGGCGCAGGGACAGTCGCATCCCCCACACCCGGGTCACGACAGCCCTCATCCGTCAAACCCGGGCCACAGCAGCCCTCATCCCTCACACGCGGGTCACATCAGCCCTCACCCCTCACACCCGGGTCACAGCAGCCCTCATCCCTCACACGCGGGTCACAGCAGCCCTCACCCCTCACAACCAGGTCACAGCAGCCCTCACCCCTCACAAACGGGTCACAGCAGCCCTCACCCCTCACACCCAGGCCACAGCAGCCCCCACCCGTCACATCTAAGTCAAAGCAGCCCGCACCCGTCAAATCTAAGTCAAAGCAGCCCCCACCCGTCAAATCTAAGTCAAAGCAGCCCACACCCGTCACATATAGGTCACAGCAGCCCGCATCCCTCACACCCTGGCCATAGAAACTCGCATCCCACACATCCAGGCCACACTAGCTCACACCCTGCACACTCCAACCATGGAAGTGCGCACCCCTCCCACCCGGGCCACAGAAGCCCTCACCCCACGCACGCGGCTCGTGGGGGCGCTCATACCGCACACCCGGGTCACGGTGTCGCGCACCCGGGACCGGGCAGCACCCACCCCACACACCCCGGCCACGGCGGTCCGCACCCTGTCCGTGGAGGCTCGCACCCGCTGGAATATGGATCGGCCAAGACGACGCTGCCGTCCATGAAGCAGCAGCAGATTCCCGTGATGACTACGCAGCGCAGCAGCAACCTGATCACCATCCCGATCCAGGGCCAGGAGGCGATGCAGGAGACGCCGCCGCCGCTCCAGCAGCAGCAGCAGCACCCGGCGTACGTCGGCTACCAGGCGGGGTACTCGCCGGCCAGCTACGGCCAGCCGCCGTCCTCTGCCACCGCGCCGTTCTACCAGACGCCGCCGCCGGCGTCGCCAGCCGGCTACGGGCGCGCCTTCCCGCCACCGGGCGTGCGGCCGGCGCAGTACCCGTCGCCGCAGCAGTGGGTCACGCCGCCGCCGCTCGGCCGGCCGCCGCCCGCCGCCCATTACTACCGCTAGGCGCCGCCGCCGGCGCAGCTCGTGCGGCGGTTCTCCGGTTATCATGAGGCTGCCGTTTCCATCTTTTTCCTCAACTTTCCCACCTAGGCACATTTTTCCATTTTTATTTTTCGGAACAGCGTTTTCCGGGTACCATCCGACGCATCCTGTAATCGTTAGTTCAATTATATTATATTTGCCATACCGATAAAGTTAAGTTCCGTCGAAAGACCTCGCACGGTTGTAGACAAGTACAATGCATGTTCCCTCCGTACAATTAAAAAGCCCTTGGTTCGTCTGCCAATGGGATTTCTTCAGTTTTCTAGGTATCTTTTCATGTCGCCGTCGTCATAAGGGCTTTACGACGCACTAAGCTGCTCAGGCTATATGGTGTCGCCTGCCTGCCACCCTGGCAGGAAGGGCGAGACGCTTCAACCACTGCGCCTATAAAAGTGATAACATTGTACATCCATTAGGGGAACTGTTTGCGTTTGGCAGGTGTTATACTGTTGCTAGTTCGTATCATAGCAACGGTGTCAGAGTGATATTTTGAGGTGATCTAGGGCGGACAGTCGTATTTTAGTTAGTTAAGTTTATTGTGCGACCAGAAATATTTGCTATGCCATTGATAGATTAAGCCACGGCCATAGATAAGACATGATTAAGCCTTGAGCGCATGAAATATCATAGACATGTCCAGTCAAAGCTTGACCATGGCTGTGAAACTGCGCAGCTAGACAACACGGCAGGAGGGAGGCAATAAACCTAGCGATAAAGGTGGAAGCTGAATAAGGAGATCACAGAAAAACTGCCGTGCTAACGATCGTCCTGTTCAGCTCATTTGTTCGCATGCACGATGACGAGCCTTTTGGATTATTCATCTGTGAGAGCCCATATATGTGTGCTCACACCCAGCAAGCCGGGTTTTCGGCAGCTCTTGGGTAACATTCAACTGAAAATTGGTGTTTTTGAACATTCTGAAACGAGGCAATGATCCTGTGAGTGCGATGACTCACGACAGGTTGTTGGATGACAGGCCTGCTGGCTGTCGGTCATTGGAGTGCGACCACGTGAGAACGGCTAGTTCGGATATTGTTTGCTTGCTATCAAGATGGATGCAGATTAAGTAGTCCGTGTTCGTGCTACGTAAGTGTTCGTTGTGTTAAACAATTTTGTGCGACGAACGGCATTAAGTTTTGTTTGTAACAATGACGGGGCTTCTGAAGGTAAGTATGCAGGCGGGAGGCACTGAGTTTCTGCTTCCTGATACCATAGATCTAGTCGTTTAAAATCAAAAACCTCTTTTTACCCAAAAGTGCACCACACGGAACATTTATCCAATCAACCGCGGCGGAAACTGTAGAGCTTGTTTAGGAGAGATTTGTTCGGCCAGTCGTGACCTCTGAAGAAGTGGGATGAAGGTGAGAGGTGAAGCTTAGGTAGCAAACGATAGCCGAAATTGACTATGATTGTCACCTTTGCTAAATGGGTTTTGGCAATGAGTCACAGATAGCTGGTCTGTCATTGGCCAGTATTGACTCATCCGGAGTGTTTCAGTGTTGTGTTTATATTGATATCCGCGTGGACAGTAAATAGTGAATGATTTCAGAAAATCACGCGTGATGTTCATCAGTCCGGTCTAAATCATTTACAGATGTCATTACGATGGCAGTACATCCACGAATTATTAGTAGAGCTGCCAAACGCAAACTGACGATCGTGACATGACCCATTAAGGTTGCTGCTAATGAGATCGGAGTAATGAGTTCGCTAGTTTTAGGGACACGAATGGTGCTTGAGAACACAACGCTGGGGAAAATGGTCACGCCACCGTGTTAGGAAATTAGGCAGTGGTCACAAAAATCATTGTCATGACCCTCGTGTGTCTTCGCGGAGAAAACCGCTTGCATATATCACTGATGCTGGCGCCTTGTTATGCGATCAGGGTTAGCAGCTGACGGGCGGGCACAAGTTCTGCTAAACGTAAAAGGGTCATCTAGGGGGCGCCATATTTTGTTTTCGCATTAATAGAGCATCAGCGAACATGATTAAGTTGTTTCAATTAATGATTTGGCAGCGTTTTAGTTGTAGTAATGCAAATAAATTAAGCATGCAAACAAAGCAGTGGCCAAGGCTCAAAGCCTTTTAGTGGTCTCGAAATGATCTAGTTTGGGCAACGGAAATGTGTCATGTGAAAGCAGCATGCTAGGACGCGTCAAAATATGGTGCCCGGAAATCGACGTTAAGAAAGGAAGGAAAATGCCCCCCCCCCCCCCCCCCCGTCCGTCCCCCGACCGCGCTCCATCACCCTTCGCCTAGTGCCGGAGCCTCTGCTGTCGGAGGTTCAGATAGGCCAATACGGTCGATGCTCGCTTCGACGGCAGGCGTGGGCGTGGAGGATCTCTCCGTGCCGACCGCCGCGTCCTGGTCCAACGTACGCGCTCTGAGCGGCTCAGCGAGGGCAAGCGGACCGACGTGCCGGCCGTACGATGGAACGTGAGCATTTGTCATGTTTGCTGCCGTGGCGATCTGCGCTTAGCTGTTGAGTGTTCGTGTGTCAATCCCGGTTGTAAGCGCCATGGTGGTGCTAATAATTGTTCCATCCCCTTATTCATCTAGGTCAGCCAAGCATCTCTGTAATTGCGGCAGCGTGGTACGGCCGGCCCCTTGGTAGCGCGCGCGCCCCGCGGAAGAGGAACTCAACGCTTCACAGTCGCACCGGAGTCGGCGGTGCTGGCAGTCGTAGCTTGGATGTCCGGGTGATTAGTAAGCCACCCCGATCTCGGCTTTGCCGTCCCATGGGCGTCGTACGTGCAACCTCGAAGAGCGTTGTGTAGAAAATACCTTAGTTGTGTGTAGCACAGCGAGTAGTCTTGTGGCGTAAGTCATTGTCGTCGTTAGCCCATTCGAGCCACTTGTAACACACACGCACACGGCTGTTTTAATGGTGCTAGGTTGCGTACCAAGGTACGTACCCAAGGCATCACGGAGTGATGTGGTTAATTTGTGTGGAGTGATTTAGTTAATTTGTGTCAATCCGTATGTTGTGTTTATCGTTTATTATCACACGCCTCCTGATCTCACCCAAACGGAAAACAATCAAAATACAATGGTTGTAACGTTGATCGCACTCTCAAACGTCTTCACTAAGACGGCCAGCTGACATGTCAAGAGGCCGACATCGACGGGGGCGGGGGCGGGTGCCAGCCACGGTGCCCGGCGTGCCACCAGCACGGGCCGCTGCCAGTGGAATCGGGGCTCTCGCAGTGCGGGATACCGGCCTGGGCGTCGCCAGCTCCTGGCGCGAACTGGCATCGAGCTGCGCAAGCTTAGTCATCGCGGCTATCAAAGCGCAGCAGCCGAGCCACGGTACATCCTCCGGCCGCATACATCGCTCACATTCGCACAGTGTTAGACGTGAGGCCGGCGGGCCCGCCGGGTCCGCCCGGACCCTGGGACGCGGGTCCTCTCCGCTCTACGCGGCGCTCACTCGGCGGGTTTAATGCCGGTGCCGGTGCCGGTGCCGGGGTCGGCCGCGTGTCGGCTAGCGGGCGCGATCAGAGCACCAGGTGCTGCTCGGAGGAGCACTCGCCGTTGGTCAGCCGATGCATGGCCATCTCGGAGACGCCGTGGTAGTGGACCATGGCACCCGCCACCACCAGAACGTGGAATATCTGGTGACTCTGAAACTGCACGGGCGCCGGCCATCAGCGTCCGCGTACGCACGCCGCACAGAGCGCCGAGCAGAGCCAGCGGCGGCTCAGGACTGCATAACACCAGTCACCGTCCATTGCTCAGAGGGACGGTATGACACCAGCCACCGTACACTGCTCAGTGACTTCACAACCAGTTACCGTGCACTGCTCAGAACGGCTTCACAATACGTCACCGTACACTGCTCAGAGGGACTCCACAACACCTATCACTTTATACTGCTCAGGAGTTCATAACATCATTCACCGTACACTGCTCAGAGGGATTTAAGCTGGGACTTAAGCCGACAGCGTTTACTAACACTTCAGTTGCGGTGAATCGGTATTTCTGTTTATTCTAGGGCAAATAAAATTACCTAGTTTTTCTTCTTTTTTTTGGTAGCCCCATCCACTTAAAGGGTGTTCCATATTTCTATGGAGTTTTGAACTGAAATGGCCACTTTGAAATGGTCATTCGGCGCAATTCACAGCCCCGCCCTGCAGCCTTCTGAGCTATACGCCCGCGAAGATCGGCAGACTATTTCGGGGAGAGTATTGTAAGGTCATCATGGCATTCATGATGTCAAAGTAACATGATTAAAATCTTCCCATTCCATAAGCTATGCGGTGATCACGGCCAATAAAAAGTAATGGTCAGTCGTTTATCTTTGGCTTTCGCGAGCGCGATTTTCAAATATAACGGCCGTGAATTGGCTCTCCATGTTGCGCAAGATGCGATGCCGTAATCAAACGATGACGTCTCGAGGAACATATTTACTGAACAGACAAATTGCGTAGTCTATAGCAGTCTTTTCTAGTTTAAAGTATGCCGATGGTTATAAGTGAGCTTGTTTAATCGTGTCTGATACTTGCTTCGATATATTCAACGGTGAAACGTTCCTCTTTAAACGTTCCTAACACATAGGAAGTTGACGCAACGCATTTTCAATGTGCCCATGTCTACAACGCAATGCATAGCCCACACACAACGTGGTGATGCAACAGATCGTTGCAGTGAACTTGAAGAGGCTGATGTCGCGAACATCCACTCGGAACGGCACTGAGCTATACTGGGAAACATATCTTTAAAACCTTTTGAATGCGCAAGTTTAAAACTTTTCAAATGCGCAAGGGAAGTATTACCCCTTTTATTTAGACTCATTGTGCCACCACGGTAAAGTTCAAAGTACCTACAACAGCAGGGTGAAACGCTGCGGTCGGCAGTAGTACCATCCTTCCATACGGTACATGTCAGAATCAGAACAATGCAGAAATACTGTTATGCGAAGAACTTATAGAACACTACACCACCATCAGGCACATCAACTTCCAAAGTGTGTTCTGAGACATTGCGCCGGACAACCCTGGTGGCCTTCGAGCAAGCTCAACGAAGTCAAGACGAATTTAACAGGCAGCCCAGCACACCCCTGCTGTACGGTACCCCTCGGCCTGCTCTCTACCCTGACACAAGTTATCAAGCAAGGTATCCTACGTTTTAGGGTGCGTCAAGTACGTTGGTTATTTATGCATCTTAATATTCATATCGCCTTTACTTTTCCAGTATGGTAACGGGAGTGCAGCGGTTGGCCTGCGCGTCTGGGCAACCAAACATTACGGAATTGATTCCTCGCGATGCCCGCCCTCCCGCTCAGGGTGAGAGGCAGCAGCCGAAGTCAAGCCTCAGCAGCTGCGCCTCGTAAATGCTTCAATTGACAACAACTGGTCGGCCAGTTTCAAAAAGCTTTGCTCGGAAGCAAACACAAGTTGTGCCGATAAGCCGGTGTGTCGACGCATTTGGCGGCCGTTCACCAGCCCATCCCATCGAAGTGGATGTGTAGGCACAAAAAAACGATGGCGGGTTAAATATGTCGGAAGATATGCTAGGAATGGGGGAGGCGTGAGACAGGGTTAAAGGGAGAGCGCGTAACCGGACAGCAAGAGGACGGGGCTGTCGAAAAAGGAAATTGGTACGTCGCAAAACATAGTTACTAAATCTTCCTACTCGTTGAGTGGTTCTAATGCACGGGCGTCACACAGCGGACTGAGCACGCTGAGTCCACTGCGGCATCCCTCCGCGTGGTGGGCGGCCGCGCCACTTACGTAGATGTCGCACTTTCCGGGGAACCAGCGTTCGGGCACGCGGAAGGCGTACAGGAGGGCGCCGGCCACGTACAGGGCGCCCATCAGCGCCAGCCAGCCGACGGCCGTCAGCGGCACGGAGTTGAACCAGCCCTCCGAGTACAGGTAGTGGACGGCAGGCACCACTCCGCTCAGGCCGAAGCCCAGGAACAGGCCTGGCGGCGTGCCAAAGACCAACGGCTCAATGTGGGGGACGCAGGCTGGCCGGGCGGCCAGGCAGCGTACGGTCACGGCGGCGGAGGGGTCACCGCTCGCAGCCCCACCAGTCACCGCTGCCAGCGCCATCCCACCCCCGGGGCGCCACAGCAGACACCATCGCGACAGCTGACCAGCGGTGCACGACACCATGGCCGACTTCACCCCGTGAGGCACGGCATACACATCGCTTCAAAGCGCAAGTGTCTCATAACACAGAATGCCGAAACCATGCCGTTATGAACAGCGTCGTGACACCGGAGTAGCATTGAACGTCCACGTCAGAGCGGTTGCGACATACGACACGCGCCGCCGGACTGCCAGCGAACAGCGACAGCAGACAGCCGAGAGGGAGAGGGAGGCAGCCGACTCACCCGCGCGCAGCGAGCGGTACTCAGGCTCGCCGAACTTGTCCACCAGCGAGACGACCATGCACGCCGAGCCCAGGCAGATGACGCACGTCAGGTAGATGACCTTGGGCACGAAGCTGCAGTAGAAGCCGTAGTAGAGCCAGGGGATGAAGGAGCCCACGATCAGCAGTGAGATGCCGCAGTAATCGAACCTGGCAACATATGTCACATCACGGCCGGAGCCCGCGGCGCACGCTGTCATACGAGCGACGGACAATCTCATACCGGGTGAGTTTTGGCGGACGCGGTATGCGTATTCCATACGACCCGACGGCATGATCTCCGTGACAGCAGCGGTACACATTTTTCGTGTCGTTTGATCAATGTATGTCCAGCGGCTACACAGCACTGGCAAAACAACAGGAACTTGCTTCAGTCATTATAAACTGGAAATGTCACAACTGATTTGTACGAGTTTTTCCACAGCACATATCGCGCATTCCATTCCTTGGTCTATAGGTATTTGAAACTTCCGTTTCACTTATCCCAAACCAACCGAGCATTCCCAAACCATTTCAAGCGTTCCGCAAAGGTTGTAGGTGACGTCACAGTGTATCGTTTCCGCCCAGCTAAATCGAACGACGAATCCCAGCCGTTCTAGCGTGACCGGCCCAATCAAACGCAAGGACCAATAGCGCGTTCCGGGTCCGACTAATAGTTATTTTATTAGCGCCAATACATACGACGCCCCAATATCCGCACGAGCCATGACACGCCCAATGGCGCGTGGGTCATCACGTTTCATCACTCTCCAAGAATTCGAGTGATCAACTGCTGGTAGACATGTGTCCATGGAATAGCCGTCAGGCGCCGTGCCCAAGACGTGGCCGCAACGTGGCCACGGTGTCGCTAGCCTCTTCATCGCGGCACGCTCGCCTGCCCGGCGCTACGGCCGTTGCCACTGGTAGCAGTCAAACAAATGGCGTGTCTAGGACCACATCCGGGCAAGGTCACGCAAACGCTGATCCACAGCAGGCGTCGCCACCAGCGATTCCCACAACCTTGAACGGCGGCACACCTCCCGGCATGCTCCGTACGCTTTAGATCCCCGTGGCGCTTGAGTCTAGGAATATCTTTTGTAAAAAATACGCGAATACGCCGTGTGCGATGTTCCCAAAGGAATACGAACAAAGACATCTATATCTTGTTTGCGTAGAACATGGATCACAGATTTTCGGTGTGTGATACAAAGCATCGCTGGCCGTAATGCTTTGCTAAGGATGTTGTTTAGCCGCATACTCCGCATTCATCAAACAACATGGACAATCTATGCCGCCCTGCTGGTGCCGCATAGAATCTTCGCCACCGGCCGTAAATGATCGCGCCCACAACGTTCGCCAGCACACCATCGTGCTGTGGCACGCAGGCGACTGAGTGCCGCAGGTCCGCACTGCACGGCGGTCTCCGGGGTGGCCCACACACTGCCGGTGGAGCAGACATACACCAGAGAGCGCTTTCGCTGCAAACGCGGCGGACGAGACCAATGGCGGACGTCACCCCGCCCCCCCCCCCCCCCCCCCAAGCACTAAAGACCGGCGACGACGCCACATTGGACCTTACTTGGAGAAGAGCCGCAGCACCCGCTTGGAGTGGCAACCGACGGTGTGGAAGATAAAGGACGCGCCCATGCAAACGATGGCGCCGGCGAAGAAGCATGAGAACACCACCTTCTCCTGGTAGTCGATCTCGATCGACGGCCGCGTCAGGAAGTAGGTGGCGATTATCACGAATCCTATGCAGCCTGGAACGGAGGCGCACGGGTGCGGTTAGGTCAGGTCATGGGCTGGTGGCGCCGCCCCAACCGGAAGCAGTCTGTCGCCGCGGGGCGTCAGCAGCACTGCGCTCCGAAACGTCGACCAATACGACAGCACTAACAGAACTGAGACAAGGGGGCGGAGCCTGGGCCCCGGCGGACGCCGCGGCCATGGATCCGTGAACCCGTTCAAAGTGGCCAGGCTCACTGGGCCCCGGGCCATGCGGGTGGCGAGGCGGCCATGTATTCTGCAACAAAAGCTGGGGAACTGCGGGCAAGGATGGCCGCATAAATGCTCCTTGCACCTCAAGATTTCTTCCCAATGGATATCGGTGGAGTCCCACCCAGCAGACGTGTGCTCGGCTCCAGTGGAATCGGATCTAATTCCGGAATATATCCCGTTTTGGTCGGCATGAGATTTTGACTTGGCACCATTGGCTGTGAGGCGGACATCTGGCTCCACTGGTTATGAAGTGAAATCGTAATGGGAACTGACTCGCATACTCTGTACCAGAATCCAGTTATTGTCAGCTACCCGCGCGCCAGGTCCGCAAGGGCCGCGGCGCCGGCGCCCTCCGCACCTCCCTCCTCTCACCCTCGTCCCCAGCCGCGTCTTCTCCTGCGTGAATGGAGACTGGCCTGACTGATTCGAGTGAACGGGGACTTGCGAGCCCAGAGTGCAAGTGACTTGAACGACTGGAAGTTTGAGTGCTTCAGTGCGGTGTCCCTGCTTACTGGATCCACTCTGCTGTGATTCATCAGCGGCCCGTTGGACCACCTGCGCTGAACACCTACGCGACTATTGGTCTTCACTTCTGATCAGGGCCATGTGCCCCTACGAGCGCAACTGGTAGCCAGTAGCTAGCGGCACCTTGTTTTAATGCCGCGACGATAAGCCTGAAAAGCCACGAGCCCATCGTGAATGGTGCAAATATATGTCCATGAATCGCAGTTGATTCGCTTCTGTTTTGAAAACGCATGATTCGCAAAGTCATTCCATCCCGTGTATGTATGTACATACGGTGGCACACGTGTGTTCGCGTGCTGCTTGGAGTACGATTAGGGACTAATTGCAAGTTTCTCCAGAACACAGGGATAAAATCCCACAGCTCGACAATGAAACGCTGAGTGTCCAGCTATCGGTACGGCCGCCAGCACCAGCAGGGCCGCCAACGGCCTCACACCAGGCCGGTCGCCTCGCTCACCAGGTGGTTCCGCTGGCAATGCCCAGATGAAGCCCACCTTACGTCATCAAACTTATTCCTGAACCGGACTTTACGTTGGCAACGAATGCAACTACTCGCGACGAAGAATCCACTGACAGTTCCCACAAAAAACAACTTTTATTAACGCATATTAACGCTTGAGCCAAATGACGTAAACCTCTACCACATAATCGTGCCTGACAGAGAAGGTAAAGCTAAAATCAATAAATTCTAAGGATTGTACGTTATAATAAATTCTACGGTACGTACGTATACCTTGTAAACAATACGTGGTCATATTTTCCCCAGCTGTTGAAGGCGCGGTGCTTTAACCCCTTACACAGCCTCACTCCTGAAATGATCCTCTAGTAAAAGATCTGACACGACGGATCTTGGGCACACTGATTCAGTTTGAGCGCTCCTAACACATTTTACACAAAGCGTCCGAAGCGAAAAATCCACCCGGCAACAGCGGTCCCATTGAAGCGCGGCTCGGACGGCGCAGCACCGGCCGCGGTGGGCGGAGCTGGCCGCCGCGGCCCCGCCGTGCCCGGGTTCGCGTGTTCGAGCGGCGCCAGCTGGCCGTGACGTCACGCGTCGTCACGGCCGGCCGTCGGAATCGATGGTGGCGGCGCGAGCCGGCCGACCTCCGTCTGGCGAGCGGCATCCGTCCGGGCCCGGCCACACGGCGGTACGGCTAACTCCAGAACGTCAACACCGACTACCCGGGTCACGGGGTCACAGGGAGCGCACTGGCTCCAGCGCTGCCGTCTGAACCCAGGTCTCAGCGTCCTGGCCGATCCCAGAAGGCCGCTCGCACTTGGTCGTCCTAGCCGTCTGTCGTCTACTTATGAATCGCCAGACGTCCTTAAAACGCAATCATCGGGTCAGGCTATGCACTGAAATATACGCGCTCTCTCCGCCACCGGACGTTAAATGCGTAACGAGCTTCTTCCTGGTGTGCATCGCAGGCTGCCAGAAGCTCAACTTGAAAACGGGTTTTTGGCATCTGTCAGCCCTGAACCGAAGAGCAAAAACATAAATGACTTCCGTATGCGGATGACAACAGACGACCTCATGAGGTCATCAGGTCCCAACGTCCACGGCCGAGAGTGGTCCCGCCGGACCGGGCCGGACCGGGCCGGACCGGACCGGACCGCGCCGACTGGGGCCGAGTATCGACCGACTGCCGGTGGCTGGCTCTGGCCCGGCCCACGCTGCTCAATGCCGTCCCCGCTCCCGGAAAACATTGACCGGCCTCCCGCTGACCCGGCTTTGTGGCCACACGACGCGGCCAGCCACAGCCCGGTGGGCGTGAGGACAGGTGATGCGGACACACAGACGCGGTACCAATCCATCCCCCCCCCCCCCCGCCGGGGGATTTGCCTCAATCTAGAGGGATCGTCATTTTTGATATGGCTAGTGGAACGAATGAACGTGGGTCCACGAACCTTCCAGACCCCCTTTGTATGTAACCCTGTCAAATGCTGCCTCCATCTCTGGGTCACACCTGGTCCATGATCTGTGCCGGGGACAAATGGGTCATGTTAAAAAATTGAGGGTCTTAAAGTGCCGTTCGCTGCAGCTGCAGCATCCAAAACTAAACTCATATCGTGATGTATGCTGAGGATTTGCAACAACCCTACTTCCTCCAAATTGTGATGGATGTCAAAGTAGCTGACCTAATATCAGCTAATTGGTCATGCATGCCCACCAATTTGTGGACGGAAGTAACATCCGAAAATTTGCTCAGCTTCAAAAAGACAAAACGCATCGGTGCTCCGGACGTAAAACAGAGGCCATCTTTGCCATTTATCTGAAACACTGTTTACATAAACAGAGTGCTGCTGTTTCCCTTCATTTACAAGTTTTGTTTTTATTTTGAACATATTTCTCGGGCTTGAAACGCCATATATATATAACGTGCCGTTCGGCACGCTGACATGGCATCACTGGACCTGATCTCCTCTCACCCTTTCCGGAAATAAACTTGACATCTATTTTCGGATGGCATCTCCTAACCTGACCTTTATCTTTTCTGGAAATAATATTATCAATTTTCGGATGGCATCTTCTGATCTGACCTTTATCTTTTCTGGAAATAATCTTGACATCTATTTTCGGATGGCATCTCCTAATGTGACCTTTATCTTTTCTGGAAATAATCTTGACATCCATTTTCGGTGGAAGTGTTTGTAAAGTGCGGATGCCACCTATCTAACATGTACGCTGGACAATCCTGATCTGATGCTGAGCTGCCAAAATTAACGGTTTCTGTCGTTTTAAACGATTTTTAATTGATAATTCAAAGTGGTTATTTGAAATTATTTTAGACCCCACGTTATATTGCTGGGATGCGTCAACGAGACCCGACAAGACCTCAGACAACCTGACTTGATTTTTGACCTGATACGACCCACCAACACGTCGTAGCGGTGCTGACTGCATTTTCATGCGGACAAACAATCAGTTAAAGTTATTATTTAGAAAGATATCTAAGGAGTTAGTATCAGCAACGGCAACTTCAGAGGGCCTGAGAGGATGAAATGGTTTTACGTTCGTTAATCCGATGGTAAAACGAGCGTGTGGAAGATCCCGTAACATGGAGCATCAAGCAAACCATTGAAAGCCCTCCTGACAAGCCTTCCCGCTTTTGCGTTAATTGATCTTCTGACAATTTAAGGGTTTGGCTGACTTCGTTTGATTTAGTTTTAGTATGCAATCGTTAACAGATGCATTCATTGGCGCTGCTACTTGCCACACACCGTTAAAAAAAACGCTTACGAACCAACCATTCCAAAAAGCGGATGTTAAGTAATTACTTTGCCTCACCTTTTGTGAGCTTAGCTAACCTGAACAACGACATTAATTCCGAATTCAGGCCAGGTTTAATTTTTCAAGTGACGAACTTCACTTACTCATACATTTACTTTCCCAATTCAGGAACCATTACCCACGCACACACTAGCTATGCATATGGGCAAACTCGGCTCGTGCGTATGCGAACTTCGCATACAAGAACAGCATGCATGTTTCTGGAAATATGGTTTTCAAGAGTCCACCACCAGCAGCCATCGCGTCAAGCTATTGCGCATTTCTCGATCCGGTAAACGCGGCCATTTTCCTGAGCCAGCCGGGCCCGGGTGACCTTAACGCGCATGCTGACTTCCTGGCTCTATGACAACCACACTTAATGCATTTGGAGGAAGTTAAGCGCCATAGCCGTTCACGGTCTTGACACCGCAATCAGTGTTTGCCTGGCTGGTGTGACACCACGCCAGTTTCAATACCCTACCGGCCGCACTTCAAATCACCTACGACTGCTAATCTTGGCACGGAAGCGGCCCCACTCCTCGCTATCTCACCGCTCGTCCGCCTCGGCGATTTTCGCCCTCGCTGAGTGGATGAGCTAGGCCCGGCGGGCGCACGGGGCGCGGCCGGGCCCGGCCGGGGTGGCGCAGCAGACGCCGCTCCGCCGGCTACTGACCAACTCGGCGGTCGGCGGCCGGAAGGCACGCCGGCGGCGCACTCACCAAGCAGGTGCGTCCAGATGTTGACCGTCTCCGTGTGGATGTAGAAGATGGAGCGGAAGCAGGCGTAGAAGGACGGCATCGGCGCCCGGTGCGACTTGTGGATGTAGTCGTTGTCCTGCGCCCAGGGCGGCAGCGCGTGGAACGAGACCAGCCGCGTGCCAGCCGCCCACACCTGATGGCGGGTCCACCCACGGTCACAAACACAAACCAGCGGCCCGCGGCCATGTCGGCGGGCGTGCAGCCAGACAGCTACAACGTGCCACAAACCTACGCTGGACAGGTCGTGTCCCAATCAAGAGAAGATTTCACATACACGATGATGTGGGGTGCGCATGCGTGACAGTAATATGAACATTGCCCTGGAGAAAACGAGGTACAACTGTAAACCATGACGGCTTTAAGATAAGCAGCCAACGCTAAAACCAGACATCCACGATATCAAGGGCAGCCTACGTGTCAGTTCAAAGGTTGGGACCAACAGTCAGTCGGATGACAGCAATAACTGATGGCCGTTATCCGCACGTCAATACTTCAACCGACTTCGAGGCGCCTGCTAATCGTCAAGATAACCAGCTTCATAGAGAAGGGCGTAACAATTTGGCGTGGGGAGTAACTTCAAGCTTTTACTCCGAATCCGGTTGCATAGATTACGTAATAACTTTACTCCTACGTCCGTAAAATTCTACTATTTACGGGGAAATCTCAAGTGAGGATTTGCTCCGTATTTCAGCAACCATCCATCGGGTTTCATAAACACAGCTAGTTGGGCCATGCAGCAGACATTGGCTCAAAACTGAGGTTAAATACAAAGATGTTCCGGTCCGCCGTAAAATCAGCAGTGATTGTCATAGAGGAGCCGGCGTATGGCCATGCAGGAGCGGAGGAACAGCACATGTAGACCGAGAATCAACCCACAGTGAGCGATTGTTGAGCAGTGAAGCAATGTCAACATATCAGGGGCGGACCTTGTACATAAGGCGGGCGTTTACGTACATGTCAGAAAATGTATACAACTGCAGTTCGTGTTGTTACATTGTCAGCATCACAAACATATGCCAAGATGTGTGGTGGATAGAGGTGACAAGCCGACATGAAAACCTTCCTCTTTCCGACATGTCTTAGATTTCACGATATTTTTTTCTTGCTATGACAGGACAGATACGAGTTCACAAAATGCACAACCTGGGCTAAGGATAAATTCAGCTATTTCAGGGAACTTTTGTCACTGGGGCGCATTCTGCCTTCACACGAAGTACAGGGAAGCCATAAAACAGCTTTGCTTACTTCTACGAGTAGCGGAGCAACATCGAGAATTGGATGTCTGTATTTCAACGAATTAAAAAAGTGATCGTAATTAGTCTATAAATTAATCGTCACACAAATCACAACTTCTTTACTGAGTTAAGTCATAAATGACCACACTTTTAGCTGCCTTAGCGATATACCTGGGTTTATTATAGGCATCGAAACCTTTCGGTTCTACAAGTGACAACATACTTGCCATGGCAGCGACCGCTTGCACTGGAATTGAAATTACTACAACACAAGGTCGCTTCAGCCTCGATATTTACGGTTTACTTCGGAGGAATGCTGCCCAGTTTATGAAGCAGGGTAGGAAGTCGGGAGCTGCGCCGAAATGCTTCGGCCAGCCGGAGGTAAGAAGTAGCTTCTCGTTATGACACTGGTAACAGAATGTATAATGCCCATCTCAACCCCAACTAGAATCATCTTCTAAATCGACAACGACGATCACCTGAGTGGGATCTGGTATACAGCTGAACACCGACGCAAAACTCAGTCGGCACCCACCACCGGCATCACAGAAGTACCAGGGCTAGTCCAATCGCTAACAGACCATACGTCCGCGGTCGCTGCGCGCTCCGGCGACGGCTGCGAGGCCGGCGTACCGGGCGAGCGTGCCCCTCCAGCCGCCGGCGGTGGGGCTGGCCCACGGCGCCCGCTGCCGCGCCGGCCGGCAGTCGGCGCTCACTCCTCTCCGGCCACCACCGCTGGCGGCAGGCGCTCTCTGCCACCCCGAGCCGCCGACACACACGGTCCTCACGGCGCCCGCCGCCGCGCTGGCCGGCAATCGGCGCTCACTCCTCTCCGGCCACCACCGTTGGTGGCAGGCGCTCTCTGCCACCCCGAGCCGCCGACACACACGGTCCTCACGGGACGGACGCTGCGCCGGGACACAGCTGACAGTGGACCGGGTGCCGCAGCCACTCAGCACGCGACATGGCGGCGTCGGGGTTACCGTAGGATCCCGGAGCACGGCGAACTAAGGGGGACCATGCAGCGAGACAATGAACGCGGCGGCTGCCGTGGGACGTGGTGGCAGTCAGGGGGATATAGCGGCAGACCGGGGACGCGGTGGCAGGCGAGGCGAAGGAGCGTGCACGGAAGGTGGTCCCCGGTCAGGGAAGGAGTTCGGCGGCGCGTGTCGGTCCACTGCCGGCGGACATTTGCTGACAGGCTCCAGTTAAGGCTGCTGAGGCGTGGTTCAGTACCGAGGCCCGGCCTCTGAACCGACTGGTGCCGCGTCCACGCATGCACCGCCTGTCACGCCTCGGAATGTGCAGCGCGCCGGGTTCGTTGTTCCAGCATTTAAGAAGGAATGCTCAGTACACGAGAAACGGCATGAACTAATGTGATTTTGAGCGCGCTTCTCCAACACGATTTCAGAAAATTTGGATACATCCACGTTGGTTGAAACCGCCGGACAACCGAGCTGCCCCTCCCCCGCCCCCTCCCCCCCGACTGCTGCCGGTCCCGGTCGGCAAGCTCCGCCAGCCGGCCCTTGCACTGTGATACGGTACGCCGCTGTCGCCGACTCCGGCCGCCACACAGCGGCAGCTGGTAAGCAGCACCGTCCCGGCGCAGAGGGAGCAAGCCGTGCCGACTCCCTATTGAACGTTCCGTCCACGTGTGGTGTCATTTCGGGTCCGGCACCGACGTCGACAGCTTTGTCTTGTTCCAGATGTTACGGTCGCTCGGCGCAGGCGCAGCGTCAGCAGTCGCCCCTCCCCTCTCCCTCCCCCGCCCGGCTCGTCTGGCCGACTGCACGCCCCCCGCCCCACCCCCCGTCAGAACGTTTGCGTCACCGGCCAGACACGGTTCAAACGGTCGCCACTGCCGGCTACGCTCCCGGCCCGGATCGCAATCGTCCATCACGGCCAATCCCACCCCGACATCACTGCAGCCCTCTCCCCATCCCTCTTTCAAGGCGGTAGCCAGTGTCACCGGCAAACGTCCCTATCAAGATCACCACAGGACCGGTCGGACATTTCACCAGCCGATGCGCGCGTTTCCGCGTGCAACGTCCGGGCGCTGAACGGCGGACGGACGGACGGACGAACCTTGTGGGCGAACTCCTCGGCCTTGTGCACCAACTCCTCGGCGTGCTCTATGGCGTTGTGTGCCATCTGGCTGAAGTCCAGGTCTCCCGTGGACTCCTCGCGGTTGATGACCTGGTCTACCAGCTCGTCCTGAAACACAGTGCCGGCACGCGTTTAATGTCGTGCAGCCACAAAGCACACACACAGCGATCGGAGCACCTAGTCTGCGCTTTGGCAGCAAATGAGCCCCATGCTACAAAACGCGCAGTCGTTACCACAGCTGGCATATTTCCACTCACACCTATAACTGAACACCTCTGTGCTGCCATGCCACTTGTACCTGCAGTGCACAACAGCGCGTGTATGCCTCGTCCGTCACTCGTCCCCCCCCCCCCCCCCCCGTTGCTCCGTAGCTGAACGCCCTCGGCCCAGCCTCGCCGCCCCCATCTGACGGTGTCGGCCGGCGGCCCCGAGCGGCCCGGACAGCGCGCCGACTGTTGGACAAATACCACGCTGGCCAAGACGACCCCCACGCCCTGGGGTCTGGACTGCACTGGACCCTGCGGTGGTGAAGGTCACGGCGTCTGGCAGCGCCACCGACGGAGCACGCATGGCGCAATTCAAAATTTGGGTTGCACAAAAAACAAATGTTTATTTCTACCCGGCAACAATATGATTTATTATATTCAATGCAAGGGTGGATTGAAACTCTCGCAATTGTCGTTTAAAAGGTTTCGTTGGCGTTAATATTACAATTCAGTCAGATGATAATTGGGAATAATGAACTATAATTATCAATCATGAATTATGAATTATGAATATGGATCAGTCTGCTATACTTCCACGTTTGATCCGGTATCGAAATGCGAAGCCCTAGCACATATTCTACCACGGCCTGCTACGCAGCGCGCAAGGTCAACGCCAGCTGACTGAGCCCTGTCACCCCGCGCGGCCGCCAGATGAATCTCCTACCCTGCAGCACCAGCTGCTCCGGTGGGCAGACGCCCGCACGCACCGGCCGCGTGCCGGGGCGCCCCCCCCCCCCCCCCCCCGTCGCCTACACGACCGGCCCCGTCGTAGCACGAAGCACCGAGCCGCCGACAGGCGCCGCTGCGCAGGCGGAGCGGCCGACCTCGCCAAAACCCAGCGTCAGCCAGTGGTGCCGCCCGCCCGCCTGGCCCCGTCGCCGCAAGCAGCACCGGGCCGCCGGCCGGCGCCGCTGCGCAGGCGGCTCGGCCGACCCCGCCAAGACCCGGCGTCAGCCGATGGTGCCGCCCGAGCGGCGGCCGCTGGTTAGCCTGGCCAGGCCTGAACACGTCTCTCTCGGTCTCGGGCCGCGCGCGGCACTGCGCGCACACGTGTTGAGCGCCGGCAGCGGGCGCGGCGCAACAAATCTTGTGTAACAAAACAACCCATCAGCGGGCTACGGCCGGATGCGGCAGGTTTGGTGGGGCGGCTTCAGTTGTTTCTTCACACTGGTCAATCGAGCTCGGCAACGTCTGCACGGCTCAAATGCGCCAAAGAATGCCTAAAGCGTGCAAAATTTCTGACCAGACAAGGCACTTCTTCCCCAAAATCAGTGCATTTGGCCCCGCGAAATCGCGCGGGCTACTCGTAAGTTGTGGGAAAAGCTTGTCAGGGTTTCTCAGCAAAAATATATGTAAGAAATTTATGTGCACTCCCAACGTTGCACAGCTTTTACGGAAGCGAGCAAACGAGCAGCATACCACGGCAGGCATTGCGCGTGGCAAAATGGACGATTTCATCGGTAAAAGATACAGGCACTACAACAATATAGACATCGAGATTTTATTGAGTAGTTGAATTCAACGCTTTCTCCCATCACATAATAATGATGATACACGGCAAGGTCCTGTGCACGTAAATTACTATGAAGCCGTTACAGTCGCACTCCAGTGGTAGCGGTATCATCACACTTACCTTTTTCTCCCTTTTGTTTGTTTGGTAATAAATGCAAATGTAGTTTTCTCTACAGCCGATTTCTTGGCCGTAGTTTAGTTGGTAAGAGTTATGCTTCAATCAGTTCTATAGTTTGGGGTGAGACGAAACAGTAAATTGGAGTGATTGAAATCGGCCGAGTAGTCCATTTTCAAGGTTTGTGGCACTCTACTCATCTAAGCTGGAGTTCTGGAACCGAACCATAAGCTCCTTCAGTTCCAAACAGAACTACAAACATGCATAGAGAACTCAGACTTGGGCAGAACTGGGGTAATATTAGTAAATTTGTTGACACCGCGGCAGTCTTTCCGCTTCATAATGGCATTATAATTGTTGGTTTACGTCCATTCTGGTTTAACAGCGCACCACTTGCTGAGGCTATATTGCACCCACGATAATGGTTGGTTGCCTTTTTGTAACTACTTCCGCAAAGCCCAAAGATTGACAAAGATTTGAAATCATCGTACGATTCCCGAAGAATGTCCATGATCCCAGAGGCATGTGGCAAATGTAATGAAAAAATTAGTAAATGTTTTTAATGTACATTTTAAAGCTTCGGTGTTATCCACTTTCATACAACTGGCATTCCCATACTCACGTTTCATGTGGAATGCTCAAGAAAGCGTCAGTCCTCTGCAATAATGGCACTATCATACAACGATGGCAATACACCACCGTCAATATTCAACGATCCATTGACACCATTGAAAGCCCGCCATTACGGAGGCATTGAGGATGTGCGGTCAAATTTCAGCAAAAAAAAGTTGCCTGTCGTGGTTTTCGAGAAAAACTGGTTTCATTATTTCCGTGCTTCGGTAACTCCGTTTCACTTTGGTAAAATGGTTTAAACCTGGAACGCGCGAATTGCGTACGGTGACATGAAGGCGCATTCTCCGAGTGCGCAATTTTTCATCATCGCATCTTCAAAACATCCACGCCGAAATGTCACAGGCGTTGTCAAATGGCAGCTCCTGCAATATTGGGGACACCATTTTACGATTACCGTCTAAACCAACTCCTGCTGGGCGACGAGAAGCCAAAATTTATTATAGAGGGCCGGACGCTAGTCCCATTAATTCAAAATACGACAGCATGAAACCTGAAGTGATAGGGTGTAGAAGGGAAAAGGAAAGCACGCTGACTGATGCCGACAATCCACAGGTCCGAGCAGACCGACGGATGACCGGCGACACGAGGGATCGGGTAATGGCGGGCTGGGAAAGAGCATGCCACGATCCCAGCTGTGGGAGGCGTTGGCCGATCTCAGATGCGGTCGACACCTGGCGAGCGAAGCACACACTGGCTGAGCCCGAGCGGCGGACGGGGCTGGGACGGAGGGCTTACGCTGACTGAGCCGCGACCGTGGACCGCGAGGTGACGGTGGCGGACGCGCTGCACGCGGTCGGCCGAGTGGCGCCGCCAGAGCCGGCCGCGGCGCCCCGCAGGCGGCGTCGCTGCCGCGGGCGGCTGCCACCCAGACAAGGCCGAGATCCGCTGGCAGACACGACCACGCCGGTTCAGGACGGGCATGGACGGGACAGGACCAGGCATACCGCGGCCGACGGTGACTTAGAGCTCAGTACTTCCCGCATTGCCGGTTTTGTTGCCCACATGCACGCTTCCCGTAGTGGGTGGGAATGGTTGCTGCATTCAGCAGCCGTCACTGCCTGGTGCGGTGGATATGCATTGTCCATCAAAAACATTCAGAGACTAAAAACGCAAAGTAACATCCATGTTTTCCGGTGAGGCAAATCGCACACATCGCACGTCGCATGATGTTTCATCAGGCTTCACCCATGCTGATCCTATGCTGATTACCACCACCCTTGTTCACAGCAAACGATGGCATGCCAACCATCACTACTTTTTCGAGACTACTGCTGTCGTCACAGGCCACCTTACCTCCAAGGGATCGTAGGATTCATCCTGGGGCGTGCTTGGGAGGGCGTGACCTCCCTCGCTGCCCTCGTCTTGCTCCAGCAAGCGAGACACCTCGGGCAGTTCGAACCTGAAAAGGAAGCCACGTGTTCAGCAACAGTACAGCGCAGATGTACAGAACGGACTGTCGTGTGTTCCGGGCTACACTGGCTCACGCAGAGCACGCCGACCCGAAATAAGTCGCCACGGCGTTCTACACGAACTCCAAACACATTAAATGACATAACTTAACACGTAAATCACGTAAGTTTTGACCACATTTAGTAGATGGGTGGCCGGTAATAAAAAACAAACAAAAAAAAAACAAGTTGCGCTGGCAGCAGGAATTTTCCACATCTAAACACAAAGCGACACGTTTGCACTTCGACGTGTGGTTGGCACAACCAATCGCCAATTATAAGCCAATTCCAAAAAAACAACACAACGCTCACCACATGTAAAAATAAACAGTACGGAAAATGAGGGACTGCCCCTAACGCTGCAACCAGAAGCGCATTTGCGAATGGCTACTCTATATTTACGCGCAGGTAAGAGACCACCGATTTCACGCACGATTCGCAACAACTGGGAGATTTAGCACTGAATTGGAGGCAAAGCTTACAGCTGATGGAATCTGTCGTCTCGCCGTTCCGATACACCCAGACGCGAGAGAAAATTAAAACATCGCATCCCAACCGTTCGCTGCACCTCCGTTCCAAGGAAATCCCCCGTCAATAGAAAACGGACAATGGAACCCCACGAATCGGTTCCAAAATCGGTACGTTCGCGACTATCAAGAACTAAAAACGGTACAAATTTGTGCGGCGTAAGCGTCATAAATATTACGCGCACAGGTCGTTTCGTGATCAAATCTGTGTATACGGAAACAGCCATACCGATACAAGCTGCAGCATATGTCTACTAGAGATCCAAAGTATTTCAGTCTCGTCTAACATACCTGAGATGCCAAAAACCAAAACGGCAATCTATGCAACCCTTTAACCCAACAGCTGAGACGCCAAGACATAAAGCGGCAACATATCCACCTCATTTTACAAATTCAGGAGCCTACCGCCCATCGCATGCATCGCCACTGCCCCATGCGCAGAAAAGCTTTATAAAATTCAAACCGAACGTCAGCATTGCATAAAATAATCGCTTCCCGGTAACGCCTGCGAATTCTTGCCGCGCGAGGCGCACCGCTACACGCTTGATCTAAACAGGTTCGGATTTAGCAAACACCACCGGTTGACTACAACAGAGCGGCGCGATTACGCCACATGCCGCGTGCAACGAGAATGTCGAAACGCCGAATGACTGGCGTCACAACCGCCCATTCCGGTCTGGCGGCGCATCGCCAGACACGCACGGAGGTCGCCTGACCTCGACTGCCGGGCCGACCTTGAGGTAGGTGGCGGAGCAGGCACCGGGTCCCGCCGCGCCAGAGAGGCACCGTATCAAACCAGCGCTCATCGCAGCGCTATAGGCTAAGCCAACGCGGCAGTTGGTATTTGGAACGGAAGCCGCGATGCGATGGAATTGTCTTGCCCGTGACTATGGCTACATACGAACAATGCGGCGCCTCCTAATACGTATGCTATTTTACTTTTTGCCAGTCACTTTTTACGATGGGACCATTTCCGCAACATTCGGCTTTAAACCTGCTAGCACATGTGGACAAGACACCTGTATAAGACCACCGCACAGCTGTCCCCAGGACTATTCGACGCATCGTTATGAAAAGGGACTAGGTCGGTTTCACGCGTTTTCACATCCTATCGCAGCGGCGATCCGTTTATATCAAGAACACTGCTAAAATTTGCATAAAAAAATCATCAGCCGGCGGGACTATAAGGACGTTCGGGCGTTCAGGCCAGCACTAGGTCAGTGACTGGCCAGCGTGAAGAACAGCATATATGCTTCGCTGCTGTTGGCGCGGTGTATGCGGATGGGCTGGACACTGAGACTGTGTTTAAGTATGAGCACGAGCATGAGTATGAGTAAGAGTATGAGTATGAGCAGGAGTATGAGTAGAAGCACGGGTACCAGAGTATGGCGACAGGTCGAGACCAATGGCCGAAACATCCTCAGTGTCTTGCGCTTGTCTCTGTGCTGATCATGCGGCAGCAAGAGCTCTTTCAAGTACACTACAAGGATGAGTGGGAACCCCCGAATCACGAAGTTCATGGGGCACTTTTGACGCTTCTGGCACAGAGCACACGTCGGCTTTACTTCTCCGTCAAGCACCCTCTCCCTCCATAAAAAAGATCAACGCAGTCCTGCAATCGCACAAGGCCCTTCATCGATGGGATCGGCAGGCTTTGCCCCTCCTCCCCCCCCCCCCTAAAACGGGTCAAACGTCATGAAAGTGTGGTGACACACCGTGCACCGCAGCGTGGACTTGAGTAGTCCGACAAACAAGTCGACGAACTTCAAACTCTCCAGGGACAGGGAATGCTTCCTGGCTTCCAGCGATTTCTGGCTGGTGCCGAGGCTGTCATCGATGCGGGTGGGTGTGAGCTTGTGTTAGTTGTTTACGCGGCTCACGTCCTCATGCCAGCTCTCCAGCAGGCATCTGAGAAACTGTGTGCTTTAAATTCGACTGTTTAACCTCGACAACTTGCCACGCCGGGCAACGGATCTGGCCCCGCTGGTAAAACTTAAAGACGAAAAATTTGAGAAATTAGCGCTGAGGGGAGTCAAGTTCATTGCCCGCAGGATCCTTACGTTTCTGTGTTCTAACAGTTTCGGTGGTGTAAAATGGTTGTTGAATCATCATGCATGTTGCCAACCTTCGTGGTCTCCCTAAGAGCGTTCGAGGTCAACGTCAAATCATGTTGAATAGTATTACGTCAACCTGATCCCCTCCCCCCCCCCACACGCACAAATTTCATCATCTACAGAAATGACTCGAGACGTATGCGTGATGGTGAGGGGTTGCTCAACATTCAGGTCACAGCATGTCGAGATTTCCACACAAGCCAGGGATTGCCAGATTTTTCAGCGTGGCGCAGCCATTGCTGAATGGTATTAGCCCTCTGATGTCACAATGAGAGGCTGCACCTAGAATACGCTCCTTGTGTTCAGAGAACGCAATATGGTTGACTGCTGCGGTCTCTTACGACACGTTTGGTGATGACCTCTTAAGAGTTCATCACCAGCGGGCAATCCGAAATTCGATCCACTATGGCATTGTTCCCCAACATCACCGGTACGTGTCTATACTTTGAGTGCAGGTTGATGAAGATTCAAAGGTATGTAAATCAAGGAATATGTCAGATGAGTCTGTGGCTGGTTTGTATTTCAATGGCGCAATGTCAAGACTTTAAGTCTCCTCCGAAAGCAGCAAATGCTGCAAAAATAAAACTTCCTTTTAAATTTAAATACGCCCATGTGTTTTGAAATGCAGGTACGCATTTTAACTGTTCAGGGAGGAGTGGGGAGGGCGTTACCAATATTGTATTCGTTCCCATCAAACTCGGATTCCAAAACTCAAATACTGATCTTGGACCGACGCTCACTTATCGGCGCACCGACAAACGCGCGGGCCGCGATAGCACGCGATGACCTTCATAAAGCCTTGAGCTCAAAACGACGTGGAACAAAGACTCTACGCTGAAGGCCATGCCCATGAGGGTCAAAGTACATTAGGGAACGCGCCCAGGTGGTGTTCAGTAAGAAATGAAGTGGATCCATGCCGCCAATACATTCCGGTAAACACAGCGTGACACGAACCATATAGTGGGCTGTTCCATACGGCCCTACTAAGAACACGACACATGAACTGAGCTGGTTGCACATTCAACGCAAAATTGGCGTTCGAACTGCACGTCAAACAGGAGGGCTTCAGTGGATGCTGGCAATCGCCAAGCTAACGACTAAGACCATCGTGGTTCACGTTTTTGTAAGAGAAATGCTTTTTTGAACGCCGCATTGACATCTCGTTCCTGCGCGGACTCGGCAGATATCAGTCCCGCTGAAGTAAGAAAACGCGCATGACCAAGCCAACTCTCCGAGTGGAACTTGACCCGCACGTCGCGCCTTCTGGGAGCCCCTGCTGGTGTTTGATTCCCGCTATCTTCACAAAACGATAACAGAATCTTATGTCACTACACAGAAGTGAAATGACGCATTGGGCCTTGGCTTTATATCCAACCTACATACGAGGCAAGAGCCGAATTACCCAATGTACATTTCACAAGTAAAGAATTTCGGAAGAAACCCAAGCCTGGCACGGACACAATCTTCATCCGTCTCGTGCTCGCCCCGGTGCGGGGCGGCACGTACTGCACGCGCCATCGCCGTCCTCCCCTTGCTGGGGCGGCGCGGGGGCCCAGCAGATAGGGCCGGGACGGTGGCCGTGACGCGCAGCGCGCCATCCTCTGGGCCGAGACATCGCAGGGACTCCCGCCTCCTCGCGGCCGTGGATGCCGCACCACGTCACGGGGCGGGTGCGCCAGGGATGCCCCGTCGCCTCCCCGTGCAGGCCCGAGCGTCGTGACGCATCGAGTCAGGTCGCGCCGGTGGCCGCAGATAGAACGGGTTCGGCGTCATCGGTCGTCAATGAGGCGGACTGTGCTCGGAGCAGCGCCGGTGGCCGCTGACAGAGCGAGTTCGGCGTCACCGGTCGTCAGTGAGGCGGACCGTGCTCGGAGCCGCCCCGGTGGCCGCTGACAGAGCGAATTCGGCGTCACCGGTCGTCAGTGAGGCGGACCGTGCTCGGAGCCGCGCCGGTGGCCGCTGACAGAGCGAGTTCGGCGTCACCGGTCGTCAGTGAGGCGGACCGTGCTCGGAGCCGCGCCGGTGGCCGCTGATAGAGCGAGTTCGGCGTCAGCGGTCGTCAGTGAGGCGGGCTGTGTTCGGAGAGGCGCCGGTGGCCGCTGATAGAGCGAGTTCGGCGTCACCGGTCGTCAGTGAGGCGGACTGTGTTCGGAGCCGCCCCGGTGGCCGCTGACAGAGCGAATTCGGCGTCACCGGTCGTCAGTGAGGCGGACTGTGCTCGGAGCCGCGCCGGTGGCCGCTGACAGAGCGAATTCGGCGTCACCGGTCGTCAGTGAGGCGGACCGTGCTCGGAGAGGCGCCGGTGGCCGC